TGCTTCCACTATAGATATTCTTATAACTCATTCTCCACACAGCAGTTAGTCAGCTTTTAGAAAGGCAAACCTTACCTTGACCCCCTCCTAGGAAAACATCACTATTAGGATCAAGTTCCTTCAACCAATCTACTGATAACAAGTTTAAAAAAAAAAAAAAAAAAGATCAAATTTGAATTTTTTAACTTGGCCAACAAAACCCTGCATGGTCTAACCACACGGGCAATCTCTCAGGCTTCCTGTTGCTCCAGTTTCTGTTAATGAACCACATGCCTTCCTGCCTTCCACAGGGTTTGCCCAAGCTGTCTTGGTGCACAGAATGCTTCCCTTCTGCTTTAACTAGTAAACACCTACTACTCACCTGTCCTTCGGATCTCAATTCAGTTGTGATTCCCACAAAGACATCTTTCTCAACTTCCCTTCTGGACAAATTTTCCATACATTGGGGAAATATATATATATTTTTTAATTAATGTCTCTCTTTCTCATTGTAAATTAGCTTCGTGAGGATAACGACCATATAATTTTGTTCAGCTTTGTATACCAAATACCTAGCACATAATCAACAGTGTCTAGCACGTAGTCAACAATCAATAAATACTTTTAAAATAATATTAATGATATTTCAATAAGGAAGAAGGAGATGATATCTTGCTTGACAGTTCAAAAAGTACATTTATATTTATCATTTTATGTAATACTTACAACAATCCTGCATAATAGAGACTGTTATAACTCTCTTAGTCCATTTGTGCTATTATAACAAAATACCTGAGACTAGGTAATTTATAAGTAATAGTAATGTATTTCTCACCATTCTGGAGGCTGGAAGTTGAAGATCAAGGCACCAGCAGGTTTGGTGTCTGGTGATGGCCTGGTCTCTACTTCCAAGATGGCACTTTGTTGTTGCATCCCCTGGAGGGAGCAAAGCTGTGTCACAGGACAGAAGGGACAGAGGGGCAAAAGAGCCTAAGTTAGTTCTCTCCAGCTCTTTCATAAGGCACTAATCCCTCATCCATTCTGCACTCATGGCCTAATAACCTCCTAAAAGCCTCACCTGTTAATACTCTTGCACTGGGGATTAAGTTTCAACATGAATTTTGGAGGGGACACAACATTCAAAATATAGCACTCTCCAAACGTTAATTTCCTAATATAAAAAAACTGGCAAGTAATAGCACCCACTGTTTTTCTGAGGATTCAGTAATATTATACAGGTAAAGCAATTAGTTTAGTAGTTGGCACATAGAATGGCTCATTGAAGGTCAAGTTTGTAGACATACCAAGAATTCTGTCTTGAATCATGCCTTTCAAGATGTGCTTCCATCTTCCTGGACCACATTTCCCACATCTTGATTAAATGATTGATACCCATTCATCCTTCCCACCTCAGTGGAAAATCAAGGAAGTCTTCCCTGATCCTCCAGCTTCAGTTACATTTCATGCAGTATTATTATGTCTTCCCTACCAGGATTTTTATGGACCAATTATTTAATAATCTTCAGTCTCAGTGTCCTCATCTGTATTGTGGAGGTAATAACAATAGCTACCATTTATTGAATACTTTATGATAAATTGCATATAAAGGGTGAGGAGTGGAAGGTGTCAGAGATGGCCCTTGTGTTCCTGGAGGATGTAACAGGTTAGATGGTGGTACCCTTACAGATGCTACAACCACCAGTCAGAAGTGACATCACCATACTCAAGACTTGGAGTTTGTGGCATTAGCTGGGCACAGTGACTCTGTAATTACAGCACTTTGGGAAGCTGAGGCAGGTGGATCACTCGAGCCCAGGAGTTTAAGACCAGCCTGGGAAACATGGCAAAACCCCATCTCTACAAAAATACAAAAACTAGCTGGGCATGGGGGCACATACCTGTAGTAGCAGCTACTTGGGAGGCTGAAGTGCAAGGATGGCTTAAGCCCCAGAGGTTGATGCTGCAGTGAGACAAGATTGCACCACTGCACTCCAGCCTAAGCAGCAAAGCAAGACCCTGTATCAGAAAGAAAAAAAAAAACGAATTTGTAGCCTGTAGTAAAGTCTCCAAAATGGTAGCAGCAATTGCTGTTTTCCACAGATGAGGAAACTAAAGTGCAGCACTGTTAAGCAACCTGTTAAAAAGAACTCCTGGGGCCGGGCGCGGTGGCTCAAGCCTGTAATCCCAGCACTTTGGGAGGCCAAGATGGGCGGATCACAAGGTCAGGAGATCGAGACCATCCTGGCTAACACGGTGAAACCCCGTCTCTACTAAAAAAAATACAAAAAACTAGCCGGGCGAGGTGGCAGGCGCCTGTAATCCCAGCTACTCGGGAGGCTGAAGCAGGAGAATGGCGTAAACCCGGGAGGCAGAGCTTGGAGTGAGCTGAGATCTGGCCACTACACTCCAGCCTGGGAAACAGAGCAAGACTCCGTCTCAAAAAAAAAAAAAAAAAAAAGGAACTCCTGTTACCCACTGGGTAACTGCAATAATTCAGAATGCTAATTTGAATAAATCTGGCTTTACTATAGAAATAATAGTTCCTTTTACAAGTACTTCTCAATTCATAGAAACTTAACATTCTAGGAAACTGCCTGGACTGCCTGTAAGTACATTGATTTTTAAAGCCAACGTGTGTTTGCTTAAATGAGGGGCTGTACCTCAGCTCTGATAGGTGGAAATGATGCATACATGCTTTGACACAATATATAAGATTTAATCTTTGATACACTGTACATTGAAAGTTTGCAAGTAAAAGACTTTTTGTGTTTGTATATTTATTCTATATTTAAAAACACACAAACAAAAATACATCCCTGAAGATTTTTTTATATATATTCAGATCAACTCTCTTCTTTACCATGGAACAGGAGAATGTTATATTTGTAACTAGTTATTTGGGGCTCCCATCCCAGTGGACTGTAAATATGATCTTGATCTATTTTCTCAAATCATAGCTTTCTTCACTCAGGCTCTGTCTTATTTCCCTCTTTCGTCTTCTAATTAAATAATAGGTGAGTCCCCCAACTTCTCAGTCACTTTCAAGCCTCAAAAGTCTTAACCCAGTTTAAAAGTTCAATTTCAGACTCTGTTGTATTCTCATTTCTTCCCTTATCCTACCTTAGGCATGAGCCAAGTACCCCCATGGAGCTGTAGTTCAGGGTCTGACTCTAAGAGATCTCTTCCTCTTCTCTGCCTCTTCAAGGCTCAGCTGTTCTGGAGAGCAGGGAGGAAGAAGAGGGAAAAGGATTATCCCTTTCAACTCCTTTGACAGTGATTGCAGATGTTTCTCTGGCTACTATTGTCCAACACTTGATATCTTTTCTATGAGAGGTGACCAAAGGCTGGCCATTCTGGGCAACATGTGTGTGAATTCTTCAGAAGGCTGTGCAGAGGATGCCCACTGCACTATTCCCAGTCTGGCCAAGGCCCAGCCTCTTCCACTGCCTCACTGGCTCCCATTGTTGGTGGTACAACCCACAGCTTTTTGCTGAGGAGGTAGCTTTTTGATGAAGTATGGGACAAAGAGACAACTACGCTGTGGCCCCTGTCTCTGCCATGTCATTACTGTTCAGTTCTCTGCTCACATATAGGCAAGGGAAGATGAGAAACTCTATGTCTAAGTAATAGAAGGCAAGTGTGCCTCTGTGACTCCACCATCAATCTCTTTATGCCTCTTTGTACCTCCTCCTCATTCCCTCAGTGTGATCTCTCACGGACCACCGTACTTCCTTCCCACAGGTTCTCCTCTGTGACTCTGTCACTCTTTCATCCCAGTCTAACCTTGTCTTGGGAGCAAAATGGCTCTGTAAATATGCCTTCATGGCAGGAATTTCTTTGGATCTTTAAGTTGCCTCTGGTTGATAGACTAGAAGTATCCTTGGGGTACTAAGTGCCTCCTTTTCCTCCACCTTGGATTGTGGTTTTAACATTTAACTTTGGATTTAATGTTTCTGGAGTAATAGTAAAGTCCTTCTACAGAATCAGTGTCCTTATTTTATAGATGAGGAGATTGAGGCTTAGAGAAGTTAAATAACTCATCTTTGGGCATAAGCAAGAAAACAGAAATCCCATTTTCTCTATCCATGTTGTTCAGACCCTAAAGGTCATTCCCTTAAGTAGCACATGATAGCACATCCTCATAGCACATCTTCTGTGCTATTTCTGACTTTCATTGGAAGACAGCATTACGACCTAGACTTCTACACAAGTGAAAACTCAGACATATGGACTTACAGAGGAACAGGGCTAGGAGTCCTGACTGGCGCATCCCCAGAGTAGCACCTTTTCAGGGACATCTCTGGGCCAACCGAGAAACCTGTGTGGAAGAATTCCCAGGGAGTTCTTCAATCAGGACTTTCGGTGGAGACAACTTGCCAATGGCTACAATTTTGTTGGGGAGGAAATGTGACAAAGAATTAAGTCACTGAAGGGAATAGACAAGTCTGCTATTAAAATAACATATTGCAGAAATAGTAGCTACTGGAGACTCCAAAAGTGGGAGGCAGAGAAGTGGCAGGGTTTGAAAAACTACCTATTGGGGACTATGTTCACTTTGTGTGATGGGGTTCAACAGAAGCCCAGACTTCTGCATCATGAAATATATCCATGTAACCAACCTGCACATTTACCTTCTGAATCTAAAATAAGTTTCAAAAATAAAATAACATCTTAAATGAATATATTGGGGCCTGATGATTCAATTTAACTTCTTAAGCTATCACCTTGGAAGGCCTTAGAGGAAAAGGCAGTAATGATAATATTTCAGGCAACTCACTCTGAGACAAGAACCAATAATAGTTTTATATGCATTGTGTTGCAACAACCTTTGAAATACAGACTTCTATTTTCTCACTTAAAATTAAAGTAACTAAGCTTAGAGATGTAACTTGCATAAGATCATACACATCAAAGCAGTGGTAAAGAATAAAACGTGTGTGTCCTTTTTTAAAGTTTGTTTTTTATGATTCAGCTATTAATAAAAATGATATATAAATAATTTTTTTTCCTCTGTTTTACAGAGTAACCGAAAACATGGATAAGATCCCAGAAAGACAAATGCTTCTAAACCTTCAAAGATGGCAAAATTGTTTACACCAGTGAGAGGGAGATCAAAAGCTAAGAACTACCCTGTAGCCAGGACTACAACTGTGTATTTTAAAGCCATTATTCAAGGTTTCTTACTTGACAGTTCCTACACAACTCTGTTGAAAATCTACAATATATGCTGCATTTAATGAAACATGTAAATGTCAAATCAGAAGAGAAGAACTATAAACATATATTGTGTAAAGAAAAAGTTCAGCAATGGAACTAGTTTCGGCAGATCAAGCAAAGATGTGTCTTGGGCATGGAACCAAAGTTACAATGAAACATTCAACCCCTGCTGTGCAGGGGGGTCATTTTAATGTAACACCACACCCCATGGAAACACTAGTCCTGATAATAAACATCATTTTAAAAGATCAAAACAAACAAACAAAAAAAAACAAGGGTGGGTGGGGAGTGAAGCACGAGGAATACCTATGAAGAGCTATTTACAATAAAATGTTTCATTTGAAAAGTCTGGTTTCTTACTACAGGGATTTGCTTTTCTGTCTTTATGATTGTTTTAAACTCAGGAACAGAGACATCCGCATCGTGAATGGGAAGAAAAACACTCTTGTTTTTTGTTTTTCTGCAAAAGGTGGAGCTTGTGGAATTCATTCCACAGACGACAGATGAGAAGTGGATCACAGTGACCATAACAAAACTGGTAACCAAGTCAAAGGACCTGGGCGAATGTAACATGCGAAATAAAAGCAGATTCGATGCTTCCTTGTCCTCCTCTCACATCTGCATCCCTCCATCAACAACGGACTGATCTCATTCATACTGAGAACTAAGAAGATGATACTGTAAATCACATGCTCCCTGACTTAGTTCTGTTTAGAACGCCAACATCTATAGGGAACATGGGCCAGAGAGCATCTCTGAATCTTTCGTTTCCAAAATACTGGTTTTCAAATGGCTGCTTAAAATTGCCTGCAAATGAATATGCTATATATGATCTGGGCAAAAACACAACAGAATCAATGAGTACATTTCTACCAAGAGTCGGGTTTGCCACAGAGATGTGAATATTAAACTAAACTATTATTTTTTAAAGAATCCTTCTATGCCTAGAGCATTCTGACCTCTTCTTGTTTAGAGTGATAACATTTTTTCCCAGACAGATGACAGCAACAAGATAGCTCTACTTTTTTATATAGAAATAACATTATGTTACTGACAAGGTCATTTTCTACCAGAGACAATTAGAAGACTGGTACTTTTCCTAAGTTGTGTATTACTGAGTCTTGGATTCATCTCTGAGAGCAAATGTATGTTCCTGAAAAACTAATTTTACACCTCATTTACTGTAGATAACAGAACAACCTCAATTTTTCAAATTTTCCAAGTTTTATTTATGGGGCTAGAATTCCCATGCATAGAGAATATGTGTAGGGAGCCAGAAACTCTTTCTATGAAACGCTATACAAATCTTTCCATATGTGGGTTCAGTATCATCCTTCAGTTTTAGCACTGGCATTTGCAAAGCCAGAACAATAACTGAAGAATGTACAATAAAAATTAGAATGCTGGGGTCCCACTTTGTGTTCTTACATTTACTGCTGACCCAGGTATCTTTGGCCCAGTCACTTAACCTCTCTGTGCCTCAGTTTCCTCATCTGCAAAATGGGGTTAAAATGCTTTTTCATAAAGTTTTATTTGCAATTTTAGAACAAGAGGTGCTTAAAGTAGCACAATGTGCTTTGTAATTATTACAAGTGCTGTATTATTTGACTTTCTTGTGTTGTTGACAAAAAGATTCCCTCATGTAATAAAATAGTGCTTCGGTTTGGTTAAATTTAAGCACTATAGCACTGAAGCTTGCTTATCAAGCTACTTGGGACATTATTAGCAATAAAAATTGAGAGATTCAAAACCAGGATCTTTAATAATCTATAGCAAACAGATCATCTCATGCTATTGAACAAGATAGAAGAGTGTGTCATTCATATGATAAGTATCTCCCAGCTCTCTTGATTGCATATGCATGCCATCATACAGAACTCTACTTTTATCACAGGAGAGCCAATCATCAAAGACTTGGAGCAAACTGACAGTATCACATAATTAGCTTGATAATCTTTTATTCTGGAGGAAAGTCAGATGACATGTCCTACTGGGAAGATACAAAACAGACCATCCTACTGGATTCTTTGTTGTTGTTGTTGTTGTTGTTTTGTTTTTTGAGATGGAGTCTTGCTCTGTTGCCCAGGCTGGAGTGCATTGGCACGATCTCGGCTCACTGCAAGCTCCGCCTCCCAGGTTCAAGTATTCTCCTGCCTCAACCTCCCTAGTAGCTGGAATTACAGGTGCACACCACCACGCCTGGCTAATTTTTGTATTTTCAGTAAAGACGGGGTTTCACTATGCTGGTCAGGCTGGTCTCGAACTCCTGACCTCAAGTGATCTGCCTGCCTCAGCCTCCCAAAGTGCTAGGATTACAGATGTGAGCCACCATGCCCGGCCTCCTGCTGGATTCTTTATTCAACTAGGTAGGTTCAAGATTAAATATGAGCCATAGGCTCATTAGGCAAAAAATGTGAAAGAGGATGCCTCTACAATGTTGGTGACCCAACCCTAGCAAACTTGAGTCAGAAAATATGGAAGAGGATAAATTACTCTCACATATCTAAGACTTTTCCATTTTTCTTCATTTTCTGTTCCAGGGCCCATATGAGTAAATCTATATTCCATCTGCTCCAACACACACCTTCCTTCTCTTAATTTTGTTTTCCCACCCACCAAGAAATTTGTAAGTCAAAATTTATTTCCATGAACAAGCTATTTCTAAATGATTGGAAATATTTGCAAATGTGGTATGGTTTATATGCCTAATCGGCTTATCTGCTGTAAATCATATGAGAACAACAGCTAGGATGATTGTCCAAGCAGCTTTAGATGTGTTTAGGGTCACGCAAAAGAAGGTTTGTTTTTTCTTTGCTTAAGATCCAGGAGATTAGCAAATTTCTCTAGACTATAGGCTGAACTGTAAGTTTTACCAAGTCTTGCTCATGAGCCTCAAAATTAATATATCCTTGAATAAGGTCTAAATATTTCAATAGATACATCTCTCTATTATCCATTTTCACAATTATAAAAGCATCAGCAAAATCGTGGATGTATGTTCCAATCACTCATGGGTCCATGGAAATGGACCATGTTTAAATGAATACTTCCCTTGGATAGGATGTTCAGCAATAGCAAAAATAAATAATAATAAATAAAAATAAATAAAGTTATCAATTACAGTGAGATTTCCTGTGGCTCCACTTCTGCATCTGTACTACCTAGATGCATTTGGCTAATGAGTTTGCAGCAATCAGAACAGCGTTCTTCAGGGTTCATTAACTTAATTTTTCTTAATAAAATATTCATACCCTGGAAAATAAACATAACTGACTACGAAAGATAATTTGAGATAAACAAAAGCCCCAATTTAAATAGTTATTCAGGATAGAAAAATTTCATGAAAGGGGAAAAACATGGAGAGACTATCTTCAACTATCATACTTAAAAAGCATCTATCACTAAATTGAATGTCAAACTTTTTGTTAATGCCTCCCTACTTTTAGGAAATAGAATTTGCTGAAAAAAAGTGACATCCCTTCTGACTTATGCCATATAAATTAAATTATTGCCAACAGTTAGGTTTTAGGGGTGGAATCTTGCTTTAATTTTTTTTTTTTTTTTTTTTTTTTGGCCCACAAATAACTGCTCATAAAGGTCATGTGTGTCTTCCCAAGTCAATAAGGTAGAGCTGATATAGAACGCCTGGGTTATCACTTAGGTAGAGAGGAAACGTGTTCTCCACTAGTAATAGGAGAAATAAAGTTTGCCAAATATTTTTTGCTACAGTATTTTATTTCAACTTTGCTTTAAATTTTAAACAAATCTCTGGCAAACTTGTTCCTTTTTGTCCATTGATTGTCCAATTTTCCTGTAAACCCATTGTGTAATTCTTATGTTTGCTTTAACGTAAAACTATTCACAAGTTCATAGTTTTAAAATTAAGCATGTCTTTTTAACCTGCCTAGGTTTTTGTAGAAACTGTAAAAAGAATATTCATTGGTTTTGTGTTGATGTTTAAATAATTGGATCGTCTGTGTTATATTACATCAAGATAGATGGACAGCATAGACATTTCATTTTTAAAATATTTAATTGCATTATTTCAGTCTGTCAAAGGGTGGCACAGAATACACAAACACACACATACACACACACATACACACATACAGCATAGAAATTTGCTCTGTAGTTTGGGAGTTGCATTGCTTGTTGCCTTTTGTGAAATTTTCATAACAGTGTTTTGGTAATTTAATGACAGCTTTTGGCAGTTTAATTCTATCACTTTACTAATTTAGATTTGTCTATTATGTTGAAAAAGTTCAATAGGGCTTTTGAATGATAAGTAATCAAAGCAAATCTTAGATGACTGTTTATGTCATAAGTTTATGCTTCCACTATGGACCCAAGCCCCTATTTAAGCAGACTTCTAGATCTTAAGTGAGGAAAGCTGTCATTATGTTCTACTGCCTTGTCATTTCTATATAATGTACTATATTGAGAGTTAATTTCAGGCATATTGGCAAGAGGATTCAGACATAATGGAAGGTTGGAGCTAATCCCTGTAAGGCCTCTTTAAGTGCCAAATTCTATGATTCCATTTCAGAATGGGGCAGGGCAGATTCACAATCCTTTGCTGTCTTTAGTTTGGTGGTTTAGTTCTTCCTAAATAAATCTGTTGCTGAGAGTCCAAGTCCAATGTGTAATCAAAATTCCTAAAGATAGCTCCTCAGAAGGCTAAGGTGGGAGGATAGCTTGGGCACAGGAGTTTGATAACAGCCTGGGCAACACGGTAAGACCTCATCTCAAAAAAAAAAAAAAAAAAAGAGCAAGAGGAAGAAAATTACTGAAGATATACTTATAGGGCAATGTAGCAAAAATAGGATTATAATTTGCTATATTCAAACTAATGTGTCAGAGGTACACATGGTTGATTTGGTGAGGGTTCCTGTTTTTGTTTTGGTTTTTTCTGCATTAAGGTCTTTGTACCCCTGCTTATATTTTCATCCTTGTTATATGCAAAGTTCTGTAGGGTGAGAACAGTAAGGTTAAACAACTTTGAGCCCAATTTTGCTTACAATCAAGACCCCATGAACTTACTAAAGAATGGATGATGCAATTTTCCAACCAAAAGCAGATCCCCAGCATCTGTTAGTAGCAACACTTCTATTTGACTGACATCTCACAGACTGTGCCTATACCCCCCATTAACCATAGCAACTTCCCACAATGAGGCAGATCAAAATCCAAACATTTTTATAAATACGTGATGTAAATATACGCACAAATATATTCTGTACATAGTACGATGGTGTGAGCGCTTACTAAACGTGTACTTCTGTTCTAGGATGCAAGACTTCAAGAAAGGTTTTTTCTGCTGCTGCTGCTGCTGCTGCTGGAAACTCATGTTTTTGTTGAGCATTTAGTGTCTGAACTCTTCCCGTCCTTGACTACCTCTTCTCTCCTTTACCCCACCTTCTCTTCACTACTATTGTTTCTGACTGTTGACTGAGGCAGAGACTACTTGGTTTTTCAATTATCCAGGCCCATAAACCAGCAAATAGGTTTTTTTATTTGTTTGTTTAGTTGGTTGATTTTTTTTTTTTTTGAAAGAGCAACAGAAAGCTCACCACAATCGACAGTATTAATATTAACCAAAAGTCCTATATCTTTATTGGCTAAAAATTCCATCTCAACAGGGTTCATGCATGTTTTAACCTTCAAGATCCAATACTTTGGGGACTCAAGTATAGAGTTAATGTGTTTGAATACATAATTCCCCAGGTGTTTACTGTGTTAATGTAGCCAAGGGTCCAATTTCACAGAGCTTTCATTCAATCAACTGCCTCAATTGGGGTTCTTTCTGTCCATCTCATTAACATGACTCCATACATCACTTCAGTGCTTGTTTATTAATGAAAGAAAAATTAAAATTGACTGAGTTTCACCAGAATGATCCTCTGAAGTACACCGGATATGTACATGTACTGTATGTATTACCGTAGAGATTGGAATCAACTTACTGTATGTAAAGTTTTATGAATGGTTATTTTATAATTTATGTATTTAATATAGGAATCAATGAACTCTGGTGTTTTAGTTTATATAAAAATAAAACAAGCTGCATTTTTTTAAAACTTTATCTTTCATTGTTTATAGCTGTTTGTTTAACTGAACCCTAGTCCACTTTTTTTTTCTGAGACAGCCTTGCTCTGCTGCACAGGCTGGAGTACAGTGCTGCGATCTCGGCTCACTGGCTCACTGCAACCTCCACCTCCCACGTTCAAGCGATTCTTCTGCCTCAGCCTCCCCAGTAGCTGGGACTACAGGCGTGCACCACCACACCCGACTAATTTTTTTGTATTTTTTAGTAGAGATGGGGTTTCGTCATGTTGGTCAGGCTGGTCTCGAATTCCTGGGCTCAAGCAATCCACACTCCTCAGCTTCCCAAAGTGCTGGGGATTACAGGCATGAGCTACCGCGCCTGGCCTCTAATCTACTTTTGAAAAACAGGGTGAGGCAAATCAGGGCTATCAGTGTAATGTAAGGACAGTAAACAGATTTCTTCTCATCTTCCCACTCTGCACTTTTTACTGTATGTGCCATGGGCACTATGATAAGGAAGCCAACGCAGAATTTACACCCCTGGGGGAAAAAATATCATCATTAGCATCTCTGTTCTGAACATACTTTGGGAGAGAATCTTGCCTGCTATTTTCCATCCTTATTCTTAATGTTACTTCTCCTACTCTATCCATCTACCTTTTTTTTCTACGTTGTAGACCCACTAGATGTAACAAGTTAACAGGTGTGTGTTACACAAGCATTGATCATGTGCACATTCCTATGGCCTATGTTCGTGTGGATCTACCCTCAAAGAGCTTACAGTCTCATGTGGGAAACAAACCCTGTATCCATGAATCAAATAAGAAACCAATATGACACAATAGAGGTACAATTTTGTAAGTCACCATGAAGAACTGTGAAAAATAGGCCAGGTGCAGTAGCTAACACCTGTAATCTCAGCACTTTGGGCAGCTAAGGCAGGAGTATCCTTGAGGCCAGGAGTTCAAGATCAGCCTGAGCAACATGACAAGAATCCATTTCTACAAAAATTTTTTACAAAAATTTTTTATATGCCATTACCTGGCATGGTGGCACCTGCTTATAGTCAGAGCTACTGGGAGACTGAGGAAGGAGGATCACTTGAGGCCAAGAGTTTAAGGCTACAGTGATCTCATCACTGCACTTTAGCCTGGAAAGAGAGCAAGACCCCCAACTCTCCAAACAAAAAAGAAGATAAAGAACTGTCAAAAGTAATATTAAGCAGGATACTGTAGCTAACACTTGTAGTACAGTGCTTTGGAAGGCTGAGGTGGGAGAATCACTTGAGGCCAGGAGTTTGAGACCAGCCTGGGCAACACAGCAAGACCCTCATCTCTACTAAAAAAAATAAAAATTAGCTGGGCATGGTGGTGAGCGTGGATATTCCCAGGTACTTGAGAGGCTCAGGTGGGAGGATCACTTGAGCCCAGTAGTGTAAGGTTACAGTGAACTATGATCACGCCACTGCACTCCAGCCTGGGCAACAGAGAAGGCCCTGGCTCAAAGAAACAAAGAAAAATTAGTATATTGGAATGGGCTCAATGAGATCCATGTTAAGAAGGTTTCCTCCTTTAATTGTAACCTCTTTCATCTTTGTTAGAAAAAAAAAAAGTCACTCATCAGTTTGTTACAATGTTCTGTCACTCATTCATAGGAAGCACCTATATGCCAGGAGCTATATCAAATTCTAAACACAGAGAAGAACAAGACATAGGCCCACCTCTCAAGACATTGCAATTTACATTTTTTGATGATGGTTTACAGCAATTGAGTCTCTATGACAAAGGTAATTTACATATCAGCAAGCCATAAAATAGGCAGTTATTATGGGATCCTGTATAACTTTATAAAAGAAAAGGTCTATTTTGATTAACTCCAGTTTTAGTATATAATTCAAATGTATTATGTCAGCAACTCAACTGACCTCTTCCAGATCCAGAGAAAATTACCCCAGCGTTTTCTGGAGAAGCTAAAATGGGCGGCGGGCACTTCCTTCCACAGTGCTAGTAAGATGAGGAAACATTTACTAGGCCCACACAAAACCCACAAAAAGGAATTCCTCCCACCAGCTCATGATGTAGCCCTGCTTCTGACCTACAGGTGCAGTCGCAGAAGTGCAGAGATATAGTCAAATTCCTACCTACCCCATGGGTTAAGATTTGTGCCAAATGGCTGATAAAGAATGCTCATTTTATTTAAGCAACTTTGTAGCTACATATGAAATATAAAAGTAAATAGTGAAGCCTTTGTTGCCTCATTGAAAATCCTCTAGAGAAAAAAAAAAACTGTTTTTAACCCAAAACATGTTTGTGCATACACATATTTATAAACATCAAGTAAATTTTTGGTAAAAAAGTTTTGTAACAAATAGTCATTGGTAATTTGTGCCTGTAATTACCATAAAAATATTGAAAAAAAAGGGCTACGACATCTGTGTCATTTATATGAAGCCCGACATGACACTTTCTGTTAGAATTTAGAAGAAGAAAAACAAAAACAGTAACAACCACCTCAGGAACCAGACTTTTCTTCCCTTGTAATAAGAGAAAATTTACTGTGTTCCCATTTTGCCCTGACTGCCTACAAATGCAAAAACATATCTATATTTAATAGTGGCATCTAATCAATTTTTCTATTTTCTTTGTTATTTTATTGTTATTTATTTATTTATTTATTTTGAGATGGAGTTTCGCTCTTGTTGCCCAGGCTGGAGTGCAACGGCACAATCTTGGCTCACCGCAATCTCCACCTCCCAGGTTCAAGTGATTCTCCTGCCTCAGCTCATTGCAGGCATGCGCCACCATGCCTGGCTAATTTTGTATTTTTAGTAGAGATGGGGTTTCTCCATGTTGGTCAGGCTGGTGTCGAACTCCCAACTTCATGTGATCTGCCTACCTCGGCCTCTCAAAGTGCTGGTAGCTGTCGCCCAGGCTGGAGTGCAGTGATGCAATCATAGCTCACTGCAGCCTTGAGCTCCTGGGCTCAAGCAATCCTCCCACCTCAGACTCCTGAAGTGCAAGGATTACAGGTGTAAGCCACTGCACCCAGCCTTTTTTATTTTATCGATCCTATTGTCAATATTTGCCTTTCTTTTGCTTTGATTTTGCCTTTAATTTACATTACCTCAAATATTTTTTGTACAGTCATAAGGTATGAATTCAATATAAAAATGCACATTAAATATTCTTAGAGCCACCACAGAAATGTGTGTAGAAAAAAAATATTCAAAACTTAGACATAAGGCAAATAAGAATTATATGTCTCCATAGTTTCTCTATAGTTTATAATATTCCAATTGGGGAAATACGATGATTCAAGAGAGCTCAGAAGTTTTACAATTCTATAAAGGTAGAGGCTAATTCATAGAAAAATGGTAAAGTATGATGCATTTTTCAAGTTGACAGAAAAATAAAACCAAGCAAATAAAGATTGAGTTTTTGTCCTATAAGCACATTAACTACTTTTGTTTCTAACACACTGCTTTCCTTTCATTTCAGCAGGTCTTTCCCCATTCTTCCATTCCTTCTCAAACCAGCTCAGTCATTCTACTGGTTCCTTTAATTAACAAGCTATATAACATTTGGATACATGTTTGTTCACGAACGATATTTTTAATAACTTAGTGAGTTATTTTCAAAATGTATTTTAAGGAATATTGAGATAGAGAAGACTTAGTCCTTGCTCTCAGTGACATTACAGTAAAGTAAGACAGACAACGCTGTAACAATGAAGTAGAACTCAACACAGGATGGTGAAAGCCATAAGGATATCACAAGCTACTAAGTATCCTGAATGAATCTTTCATTTCAGACTGGCACCTTCTGCTACCTTCCCCAATTCACTGAGAGATGTTACATGGAAATATGGTGGATTCATGAACTTAATTCTCATCTCCTTTTTTTCCCTCACCCTCTACAACTATTCCTTCCAAAGTCCTATTGATTTTAATTCTGCAGTCTATCCTCTATTCTTCATCACTTCATCGCAAAACCAGCAAGTTTTTATTTGGGATTTTAGAAGGGTAGGGGTTTACAAACAGGGAGTGAGTCACAAAGATGACATGTTTCAAAGGGCAATATGATCACGAGGCAAAGCAAAATGAGAATTACTGATGAGGTTCTATGTCCCACTGTGCATGCATTGTCTTGATAAACATCTTAACAGGAAACAGGGTTCAAGAGCAGACAACCGGTCTGACTAGAATTTACCAGTCTGGAATTTACCAATCCTAGTAAGCCTGAGGGCACTGCAGGAGACCAGGGCATATTTCAGTCCTTATCTCAACCTAGTAAGACAGACACTCCCAGAGCGACTGTCTGTAGACCTACCCCCAGGAATGCATTCCTTTCCCAGGGCTATTCCTTGCTGGGAAAAGAATTCAGTGATATTTTTCCTACATGCACATCTGTCTATAGGCTTTCTGCAAGAAGAAAAATATGGCTCTATTCTGCCTGATTCTGCAGGCAGTCAGACCTTATGGTTATCTTTCCTTGTTCCCTGAAAATCACTGTTATTCTGTCCTTTTTCAGGGTGCACTGATTTCATACTGTTCAAACACACGTTTTACAAACAATTTGTATAGTTAATGCAATCATCACAAGGTCCTGAGGTGGCATACATCCTCAGCTTATGAAGATGATGGGATTAAGAGATTAAAGTAAAGACAGGCATAGGAAATTATAAGAGTATTGACTGGGGAAGTGATAAATGTCCATGAAATCTTCACAATTTATGTTCAGAGATTGCAGTAAAGACAGGTGTAAGAAATTATAAAAGTATTAATTTTGGGAACCAATAAATGTCCATGAAATCTTCACAATTTATGTTCTTCTGCCATGGCTTCAGCCGGTCCCTCCATTCGGGTCCCTCACTTCCCACAACACACAGGTTACACTGTCCCATCTTCTCCAACACAAACAGACACACACATACACTTAGACCCTTGGCGGGTCAAAAGAGCTGGTATTTATGCAGGCTTTGAGGCAAATTCATGCTGTGGATTTTTTGCTATATGCTGCTGTTTATGTCTAGA